GGCACCAGCCACGGCGGCTTACAGTTTCGGTGTGCGCGGTATGCAGATTGGGATATGGGTTTCCGTGGTTAAGTATAGCCGAAGTCCGGAACTAATTGCAGGGCCAGCGGCTAGAGAGCCAGGAGTGTTAAGGCAAAGACCTACCTGGGCCCTTGCCCTCAGCCGGTGGAGCTTTGCAGCCTGCTTAACCAGGCGATGCCACCAAGACCCAGAAAAGGCCTGCCTGTGGTGGAAGAATCCGCTGCTTGCCAAGGGATGCTGCCCAGAGACTGTGTCGGTCTGACACACAGACTGGCGCTTCGGGTTTGACAAAGGTTCTGTGGGAAGATAAATGTCGTGCGGCAGTCTAACCGTCTCACTTCGGGCCTGCAGATTTCAGTAGTACAAGTAGCTTAGTTGCTCATTCAGGCTGTGGGATACCGGTCAAAAGCATTGTGTGTTTGATAGGACTGTTTTATGTTTGTTGGGAAGCCTCTCGGGAAGAACAACGGTTGATTGGTGACTGAAAGCTCATGCAATGGTTTCACAGCTTTGGACCTTCGCCGAGGCATACACTATGGTTCTCCTGTGTGCGGAGGAGACAGTAAGTTCTCGTAAATAGGTTGTCCCTTGTGACACGAAGTCTGATGTGGATGCTTTCTAGCAGTCTGCCCAGCAGTGAGATGCTGTTTGCAGCGACATCGCAGACATCACCCCTGTCCTACACGGCTTGGGCTTGGGCATCAGAATGCTCTGCAGCAACAGCGACAGCGAATTACTGATCCTCCACCCAGGTTACGAGGAGTTCGTAAAGATGATGTTGGCCAAGTGAGCCTCCGCCCTGTCCCGTGCACGAAAGATGAGCAAGAAGCACGCAGAATCATTTGCAGAAGTATGATTTGGTTACAGATGCACCTGATTCGCGCACGGATGCTGTTCCCACAGTTTTAATCGCCAGTCGCTGTATTTGCGCGTGAGCTCATCGCCCACATTGCGGGGATTACCGCTGGGTGCAGCACTGCACCGCTGGCGACTTTGTGTGCAGCGACCTGGGCTCTGTACAGTTACAGCCCAGCTGCGTCCTAGCAGAGATTCATGCGTGAGGTGGAGACAACTTCTACTGTAGTCACGCAAGCGCTTTCTGACCTAGATCGGTTTTGTAGGAGCTCAAAATCTGCAAGGGTCGAAGTTGCTTCATCCAGGCATCGCAAACCTGCAAGGTCAACATATCATGGATCGCGACTTGTAGAGAGGAAAACGGCGGGCCCTGCTTCAGATTTCGCATTCTTGGCGCAAGATCGTCATGGCTGGCGATGTGGGGAAGAGCAAAACACTTCCTGAGCCCTCAGAAGGCAGATTCATGATGCTCTTCCTGGAGGATCAAGCCAATTCAGCGACAATTTTCCTGCACCTGGCCGGGTCGGCAGGGCCGCCATGCAGATTTTCGTGGCCTGGCTGTGATTTCGGTGTCAGGGGGTCTGGGTTTTGAGACAATGTGATGAGGCTTCTTGTCTAGAGTACTGCGAAGTGCAGAGATCAGCTACCTGCGAAACCATGATGGCTTTTAGTTTCATGCGAAGATGTCAGGGTCCTCCTCCTTTCGTTTTGAAAGGCCTGAGTTGATGAGTTGATGGCATGCAACAAAGGTCAAGACCCTCACGGGCAAGACGATTACGCTGGACGTCGAAGCGTCAGACACGATAGACAACGTCAAGGACAATGGGCGGGCGAAGCTGGAAGAGGGCGTTTTTGGAAGCTCTGGTGGGGATGTGGCTACGCTGGACATCAGGATTTCATCATGGGGATCCTTCAATTTGCTACTCAAGGTTATGCTGCGTTCAGGGGATGCAGATGAGTCTGTGACACTGAAAGTCAACACATGTGCACATGGTAACGCTGATTTTTGTACTTACATACATACAGGCATACAAACACACAGACCTATGCTTACATCTAAACGTGAGTCCAAATATCTGTCTAACAATGTAGGTGTGAAGGCACTGTAGGTAGGCAGGTAGGCAGGCAGGTATGTAGGCAGGGAGGCAGGCAGCATACCCGTAAGCTTTCTTCAGCATCTTGAAATGATGTCCATGCTTGTTGGTTTCAGAAGCCAGATGGAAAGCAGCTTCCGGCGATCAAGTCGTCTCATGAGACACTTGAACAGCATGCAGCCTACTCCGACAATGAGGCCCGAAGAGCTGGAAATCACAAGCACTGCAGCGAACATCGCAGAAGATCAACCAATCAAACTCTGGAAGTAGCTTTCCTAGTAAAGTTGGCCCAGACCAGCTGACTTCAGACTCGGCCCTGAAACCGGCTCTCAAGCGCGACAGTGCAGGCCAAGATCCAGGACAAGGAGGTCAGTCGCGGGGGCGTTTCGGAGTGCTGAAAAACGTGTTGCACGTGCGTGTACACGACTGATGTGCTGGCGATCAGGGCATCCCTCCCGACCAGCAGCGCCTCATCTTCGCCGGCAAGCAGTCCAGCACTCAGGCAGACAGACAGTCAACAACAGCTCTCAGCAAATCAGCACTGGCCACCATGGTCAGCCAGGCGAAGCGGGAACTGGCCATGCAATTCGGTCAGAGATCAAACCTGGGATTCTCAGGTGGAAAACACACTCGATTGACCATAACGACCCTAAACCATGAACCTAGATACCGAAGCCACAAAGTCTTTGAGGTTGGAGGATGGCCGCACCCTTTCGGATTACAACATCCAGAAGGCCGTTGAAAGATGAAAGTTCTCCAGTAGCTGTACAAGTCGTGACCCCCAAACAACGCCTGAAGCCCTCAAAAGGGCAACAAGTTTCTGAGAAGACACTGGGAGGAGTCCACCCTCCACCTGGTGCTCCGCCTCCGCGGCGGGGTCATCGAGCCGTCCCTGGCGGTGGGAGGGCCCGGCTTTCGCCACTAGAGCTGAGATGACGTGCACAGTAAAACGACACGGACGACGACGACGGCGCCCACTACTGCTACTACTCCTCCTCCTCCTGCTGCTGCTGCTGCGACTACTACTGATGGATGAACTCAGATTGTAGGTTGCCAGGCTGGTGAGTTTTGGGGTAGCTGATTCCTGCAAGCATTCATTTCCGATTCCGATTGTGCTTTGCCTCTAGTGTCGCGTCAACTGAAAACCGTTGACATCACCAGGTGCTTGCGCGCAAGTTCAACTGTGAGAAGATGATTTGCCGCAAATGCTACGCACGCCTCCACGTCCCGACCTCAGTTTACTTCGCGGGAGAACTGCAGCCATCATGTCCGGAAGCTTCACCTCGCTGCGGCATCTCCCGAATCTTACAAAAGCCAGGTCAACGTGCATGCATTTAACCTAGAGTTTAGAGTCCCTTGAAGCACAAAAAAGATTCCAGGTTCGAAATTCTCCCAACAGAGTGTGCTGGAAGGCCCGGGCTGTGAACTGCCGCAAGAAGAAGTGCGGTCACAGCAACCAGCTCCGCCCCAAGAAGAAGCTCAAGCCCCTCGGCTAAACATGTCTTGGATAACGAGGCTTAGGCTTTCGAGCAGTTGTGTGGCCTTGCCCATGAGCGACACCACTCCCAGAACGGATGCTTCCACAAAAGACTCAGCACAGTGTTTGAATGCCTGGCTCGAGGACATTTGAGCACTCAAAGCCACACCGGTAGGCTGCAGGCCAAAGGCCCTCTGAGTCTTGTTTGGTCTCCAAGGATGTACAAAGAAGTTACAGCATCAAAAGTGCCGACGAGTATTGCGGGTGGGTTTGCTGCAGGTAAGCCGGCCATGATGGACAGGAATTCGAGCGGCCACTTGGCTTTCGGGTGGAGGAGTTGTCCTATGTAGGAGTCCTGCAGAGGCTTGTGTGATTCACACCCAAATCGAGCAGGCACATCAGGTCCTAGCCGAGAAGGCCCTTCACAGCAGAGGCCCGGCTTGCGCGCTTGTGACCTTACCCGGGCGTGAATCGTGTGTAATGCTCGGAAATGCTCCGGATACTTTCGCCCCACGTACTCTGCTGCACAGCAGCTGAGTTTTGTGCCAAGCCGAATACACAAGCTGCGCACCTCTGCGACTCCGTTCGAGCCCAAGACGAGGCCTTGCTGGACTCCTGGTCGTGGACCCAGACGAGCACGTCGCTGAACTGGAAAAATCGGAGCTTGCTTTTCGAAGGCTCAGGTTCAGGTTCACGGGTGCAGTCAAGGCTCGACGAAACCTGGCAGAGTCGATTGCGACTGGAAGCACAAGTGCCGCGCTTGATTCAGATCTGACCGGCATTAGCTGTCGTGGCTTAAGCGCAGACAACTTCTCCGGGATCCGTCCCCCGATGCACGAAGGATGTCAGCCTGCAGTGGTCATGCAGAGTCTCAGCAGTTCAGTGCATGTATGTTGGTCAACAAGCTGCATGTGGAACGGCTCGAAGGCATTTAGGACTTGCCATTGGTTTCGAGGAATTAACTTTCAACCACTCTGGAGTGCCGCGGCGCTTGCCCACACTCTTTGCTTGCCGCGCCATGATGCGTCTTCGAGGCCGGCCAAACCGCAGACCACCCGGAGGGCCAGCTTCAAGTGCAAATTATGATTTGTATGAGCTCATCGCCCACATAGCGGGGATTACCGGTGGGTGCAGCACTGCACCGCTCGCGACTTTGCGTGCAGCGACCTGGGCTCTGTACAGTTACAGCCCAGCTGCGTCCTAGCAGAGATTCATGCGTGAGGTGGAGACAACTTCTACTGTAGTCACAAAAGCGCTTTCTGACCTAGATCGGTTTTGTAGGAGCTCAAAATCTGCAAGGGTCGAAATTGTCTTCATCCAGGCATCGCAAACCTGCAAGGTCAACATATCATGGATCGCGACTTGTAGAGAGGAAAACGGCGGGCCCTGCTTCAGATTTCGCATTCTTGGCGCAAGATCGTCATGGCTGGCGATGTGGGGAAGAGCAAAACACTTCCTGAGCCCTCAGAAGGCAGATTCATGATGCTCTTCCTGGAGGATCAAGCCAATTCAGCGACAATTTTCCTGCACCTGGCCGGGTCGGCAGGGCCGCCATGCAGATTTTCGTGGCCTGGCTGTGATTTCGGTGTCGGGGGGTCTGGGTTTTGGGACAATGTGATGAGGCTTCTTGTCTAGAGTACTGCGAAGTGCAGAGATCAGCTAACTGCGAAACCATGATGGCTTTTAGTTTCATGCGAAGATGTCAGGGTCCTCCTCCTTTCGTTTCGAAAGGCCTGAGTTGATGAGTTGATGGCATGCAACAAAGGTCAAGACCCTCACGGGCAAGACGATTACGCTGGACGTCGAAGCGTCAGACACGATAGACAACGTCAAGGACAGTGGGCGGGCGAAGCTGGAAGAGTGCGTTTTTGGAAGCTCTGGGGGGGATGTGGCTACGCTGGACATCAGGATTTCATCATGGGGATCCTTCAATTTGCTACTCAGGGTTATGCTGCGTTCAGGGGATGCAGATGAGTCTGTGACACTGAAAGTCTACACATGTGCACATGGTAACGCTGATTTTTGTACTTACATACATACAGGCATACAAACACACAGACCTATGCTTACATCTAAACATGAGTCTAAATATCTGTCGTCTAACAATGTAGGTGTGAAGGCACTGTAGGTAGCCAGGTAGGCAGGCAGGTATGTAGGCAGGGAGGCAGGCAGCATACCCGTACGCTTTCTTCAGCATCTTGAAATGATGTCCATGCTTGTTGGTTTCAGAAGCCAGATGCAAAGCAGCTTCCGGCGATCAAGTCGTCTCATGAGACACTTGAACAGCATGCAGCCTACTCCGACAATGAGGCCCGAAGAGCTGGAAATCACAAGCACTGCAGCGAACATCGCAGAAGATCAACCAATCAAACTCTGGAAGTAGCTTTCCTAGTAAAGTTGGCCCAGACCAGCTGACTTCAGACTCGGCCCTGAAACCGGCTCTCAAGCGCGACAGTGCAGGCCAAGATCCAGGACAAGGAGGTCAGTCGCGGGGGCGTTTCGGAGTGCTGAAAAACGTGTTGCACGTGCGTGTACACGACTGATGTGCTGGCGATCAGGGCATCCCTCCCGACCAGCAGCGCCTCATCTTCGCCGGCAAGCAGTCCAGCACTCAGGCAGACAGACAGTCAACAACAGCTCTCAGCAAATCAGCACTGGCCACCATGGTCAGCCAGGCGAAGCGGGAACTGGCCATGCAATTCGGTCAGAGATCAAACCTGGGATTCTCAGGTGGAAAACACACTCGATTGACCATAACGACCCTAAACCATGAACCTAGATACCGAAGCCACAAAGTCTTTGAGGTTGGAGGATGGCCGCACCCTTTCGGATTACAACATCCAGAAGGCCGATCAAAGATGAAAGTTCTCCAGTAGCTGTACAAGTCGTGACCCCCAAACAACGCCTGAAGCCCTCAAAAGGGCAACAAGTTTCTGAGAAGACACTGGGAGGAGTCCACCCTCCACCTGGTGCTCCGCCTCCGCGGCGGGGTCATCGAGCCGTCCCTGGCGGTGGGAGGGCCCGGCTTTCGCCACTAGAGCTGAGATGACGTGCACAGTAAAACGACACGGACGACGACGACGGCGCCCACTACTGCTACTACTCCGCCTCCTCCTGCTGCTGCTGCTGCGACTACTACTGATGGATGAACTCAGGTTGTAGGTTGCCAGGCTGGTGAGTTTTGGGGTAGCTGCTTCCTGCAAGCATTCATTTCCGATTCCGATTGTGCTTTGCCTCTAGTGTCGCGTCAACTGAAAACCGTTGACATCACCAGGTGCTTGCGCGCAAGTTCAACTGTGAGAAGATGATTTGCCGCAAATGCTACGCACGCCTCCACGTCCCGACCTCAGTTTACTTCGCGGGAGAACTGCAACCATCATGTCCGGAAGCTTCACCTCGCTGCGGCATCTCCCGAATCTTACAAAAGCCAGGTCAACGTGCATGCATTTAAGCTAGAGTTTAGAGTCCCTTGAAGCACAAAAAAGATTCCAGGTTCGAAATTCTCCCAACAGAGTGTGCTGGAAGGCCCGGGCTGTGAACTGCCGCAAGAAGAAGTGCGGTCACAGCAACCAGCTCCGCCCCAAGAAGAAGCTCAAGCCCCTCGGCTAAACATGTCTTGGATAACGAGGCTTAGGCTTTCGAGCAGTTGTGTGGCCTTGCCCATGAGCGACACCACTCCCAGAACGGATGCTTCCACAAAAGACTCAGCACAGTGTTTGAATGCCTGGCTCGAGGACATTTGAGCACTCAAAGCCACACCGGTAGGCTGCAGGCCAAAGGCCCTCTGAGTCTTGTTTGGTCTCCAAGGATGTATAAAGAAGTTACAGCATCAAAAGTGCCGACGAGTATTGCGGGTGGGTTTGCTGCAGGTAAGCCGGCCATGATGGACAGGAATTCGAGCGGCCACTTGGCTTTCGGGTGGAGGAGTTGTCCTATGTAGGAGTCCTGCAGAGGCTTGTGTGATTCACACCCAAATCGAGCAGGCACATCAGGTCCTAGCCGAGAAGGCCCTTCACAGCAGAGGCCCGGCTTGCGCGCTTGTGACCTTACCCGGGCGTGAATCGTGTGTAATGCTCGGAAATGCTCCGGATACTTTCGCCCCACGTACTCTGCTGCACAGCAGCTGAGTTTTGTGCCAAGCCGAATACACAAGCTGCGCACCTCTGCGACTCCGTTCGAGCCCAAGACGAGGCCTTGCTGGACTCCTGGTCGTGGACCCAGACGAGCACGTCGCTGAACTGGAAAAATCGGAGCTTGCTTTTCGAAGGCTCAGGTTCAGGTTCACGGGTGCGGTCAAGGCTCGACGAAACCTGGCAGAGTCGATTGCGACTGGAAGCGCAAGTGCCGCGCTTGATTCAGATCTGACCGGCATTAGCTGTCGTGGCTTAAGCGCAGACAACTTCTCCGGGATCCGTCCCCCGATGCACGAAGCATGTCAGCCTGCAGTGGTCATGGAGAGTCTCAGCAGTTCAGTGCATGTATGTTGGTCAACAAGCTGCATGTGGAACGGCTCGAAGGCATTTAGGACTTGCCATTGGTTTCGAGGACCTTCTTTAACTTTCAACCACTCTGGAGTGCCGCGGTGCTTGCCCACACTCTTTGCTTGCCGCGCCATGATGCGTCTTCGAGGCCGGCCAAACCGCAGACCACCCGGAGGGCCGGCTTTAAGTGCTTCAGATACCGGCTCCTTGAGAATAGCCTTGCTGCTGTACCTCTTGATACCTCTTGCTGTTATGCACCGCCGCAGGAAGGCTTCTCAAGCAGTGACCTGCGTGGCTCCTTCCTAATACTTGTATGCCCATGCCGTAGTGATGTGAATGGCAGCAGCCTCTGAAGGAGTTGCGAGTCGGGCACGTCGAACTTATGCCTGCCATCCGAAGCTCCTCAAAAGCAATCGTTCAGATGGACATCCCTCGGCCACAAAGACACACACACACACATCCGATGCCGCCCTAAGCCACAAGAACAACAATACAACCGAAACTCTTGCAGTTTTACCTTGGGCCCTGTCTGTCGTCACGACGCTGGATTGCAGGATTTGCTCTTTGGCCGAATCAGTGACGGTCGGAAGAATGCACAGAGCTAGACTCGTTGGATTCGGAGAAGAGCCGCCTGCGCACAGGACTGAAGGAGATCTCGCATCGGAGTCTCTCGAATATGCGCGTGTTGACCCAAAATCCCAGGTCCTCATGCCCGAGTCGGCAGTCGTTCGACGGGTGCCCATCACCGATTCTTGTTTCCAGGAGATCCAGGACCGATGGGCAGTGGGAGGGGTTTCAGCAGCTTCTGGCCCAATCCCGAGGGTTGGGCTTCTTCGTAGCCAACGAGAATTCGAGCATGTGCTTCGAGTTAAACTTGTCGCTCGCGGCTGAGATCCTCGACAATCTGGAGAATCGGCGCATTCAACGCTGGTATCGATACTCAAACGACGATGATGGATTGCTGGTGGAAAACGGCTCTAAACGCAGACTCCAGTACAGGCTCAGGCTCAATTGTGAGCTTACAGGCTTTGTGAATCGAGACGCGCCGGCTGGCTGCTGCTGCAAGTTGAGATGAAGCTTCGGGTACCGCAGGTGCTTCAAGACTGGATGTGAACTTGCCCCCCTGACAGATAAAATTCAGACTTTGGGGTGAGTTGCTTGTGGCTCTCGGCCATGGAGGATGACGACTTTCAGCGTTGCCTCGAAGTTCTGCAGGAGCTGCAGCAGGAGGCACACGACTTGAATTGCTTTGCGTAAACACTCTGCAAATCGAAGAGTCCAAGTGTCACCCAGGTGTCCCTTCGTCTCTCCTCCCCTTTCCTTTCCGTTTCCACCTGGATCATACCGGCCCTTGGCTTTCGGAGACCTTTTGAGCCTCGAAGAGCCTTCGGATTCCGCTAGGCGGATGCGGAAATGCCTCACTTTCTTTTGTCCGGCTGCTCTAGGTGCGCGACACGGACTGCGGCGTACTGGAGGGGCTGCTGCGGCATTTTCACAAAGATGAGCCAGTGGAGTCCCTCCGTGAACTCTGGCAGGCCCGGCCTGCAGCCTTGACTCCAGAATGTGGAATGCAAAGCGCGGGGTTCAGCCCAACGTCCTGGGTTTAATGTCATGTGTGGAATTCGTGTTCCTTAGGATGGCTGGATCGTTGTCATTTTCGTGTACGTGGATGGGCATCTCAAGTTTCCTTTCGCAGCATTAGGCCTCCAGACTTCTTTCTGAAGTTGTCTGCAGAGCTTCGGCTACACCGAAGAGTCTTCACCACTTTGCATCGAAGGCTTCATGCGAAGTGCTGGTAGGAAGTACTGTGCACACCACCTAAAGTGCACCGGTTCTGCAGAGACCGAGGGGTACTATATAGTAGTTTCGAGTAAGCATCTTGCCGGCAGGCCGTGGTTGATGACGGGAGTCAGATCAGGGCCCCAACGGCGCTGGTGGAGAGGTTCTTGCAATGCGCGTGCACCTGCTGCAGGATGAGGCGTGGTGCGTGGCGCGTGAGCATTTCGCTGGATTCGATGGAGTGAAGATGTTGCGTAAATCGCAGTGTCGAGCTGGAGTCTAGTGCCTTGAGAACGAGACTATCGTTTTCCCCCCATTCAGTGGAAGCTCATTCTGACACAGACGGGAAGAACGGCCTCTGCTGTTGCTGCCAAGTTGGACTTGTGCACGGCCCGGCACAACTCTTACGTAGGCTGTTGATGTGTATCGATGACCCATTCATTTCCTGACTAGCCCATATGCGAGCCGTTGTACCAAAATACTGCAAGCAGCCTGCAACCTCATCGTCTGTGTCTATGCGTGTTTGTGTTTGTGTGTGTGTGTGTGTCTCTGTGTGTGTGTGTCTCTCTCTCTTTCTCTCTCTCTTTCTCACTCTCTCTCTCTCTCTCTCTCTCTCTGTTTATCTCTGTTGTGCGTGTGCAGCAGCAGGTGGGTTGTCAAGCACACACACACACACACACCTCACGTGTAAACAGTATGCATGGTATACACAGTAGCCAAGAAATGGTGGGCAAATCTGACGCGACGCAGTCGTGATGCAGAAGATGTTCGAAGCTGCACATGCAAGTGTCTTGCACTTGTCAGCAGGCTTTCCGGCTCCAGGATATTGCTACCTGCATGCTGCTCTAACCGTTTGAGGTCGTGTTCGACCCGTGCAAGTAGCTGTAAGTACTGTAGGTCTAAGTGGTTCAGGATGGTTTAGGCATGTCTTGGTCAGGAACTTGGAGCTGCGAATGGCTGCTTTAGAAGTTCCTTGGCCTGCAGCTGAGTCTTTGCACTATCGCTTCACGGTGCAGGGCCCAGGTCCGTGAAAACGTCCAAAGCCCAGACGTTTCGTCGCTCCTGAATGCCCTGCAAGGTAAACTTCAGAGTCCTTGCCTTCTCGTCTGTAGCCTTCCTTGTCCAAAGCGACGGACTTCACCTGCAACCCAGCCACGAAGATTCACTTGTTCAAAGCAGCAGAGGTTTGGATGGACCTGGAGAAGTATACCATGACGATTGAGGGCTGCCTGCCAAGACTGTTGGATCAACTGCTGCCAACGCTATTGCACAATATGGCGCTGGCAGAAGAGGACTTGGAGTATGAGGGAGGTGCGGGGCGGGGGGGTCCGTCACCTCTTATCAGCCTGGCAGGACTTCTTGAAAGAGCCACCTGCAGTCCTTGAGGATGCAGCGCTTGCTGCGCGGCTCGAAGAGATAGGAACCCCTGGCAGCTCTGGCTCTCACGTTGCGGTTCTTGGGGGTGCCCTTTAGAGGGAAAGGGCTCGGAGACATGCGACATGGGAGAGTTCTTCTTCCCTTGATCTTGGAGAGAGTTTGCAAGCCGACTTCGCCATGTGTTGGATTGAGTGCCTCTGACACATCTGCAGTTGAGTTCGGTGATCAGGTCGATCTTCTGAAATGTCGACTCCAAGAAGGGCTCGATCTGGAAGCTCGGAGCGCGACACAGTTTCGTTTGCTCTGCGAGGGATGACTGCTAGGTCCTACATTGAGACCTGTGAAGTTTTTACACACGGCTAAATATTGGTTTGCTGCATCCGGGGCTGGAACTAAGGAGCCAGTTCAAAGCAGCTTTACCGCCAGACAAAGACGGGCAGGGTCCAGACGACATGGCTCATACACCAACGCCCACACCCACACACCAACATACACACAGCTGACAGGCTTTCGCTCTCACTCTCGCACAAGCGCAGGCGCGCGCACACAAAGGCATAAACATGCCGATCAGAATCGACCTCTAGCTTGCCCCTGCGTCCTGAATCTCGATGAAGAGGAGCTGCATCCGCGCTGGATAAGCTTTCCATTGTTCTGGAGGAGCCACAGAGACTGCGTTCTGTTTTGCGGGTGTTATTCGGATTTGGTGGTGGTCGGCTGAGGTACGGCCGCCATAGAGACGCTGAGGTAGCGAATATAAACATTTTATGCTGCTTGGAGCCGTTAGTGCAATGGAGTACTTGAGGAGTCTCGTGCGATCGCAACAGGAGCCCCTTCTCACGCGAGTGCTTCCCATGATTCGGTCGAAGCTGGCCGAGGCCGGCATTCCAAGCACCACCTTTGCGGCTGAGGGGCAGGGGCCGAGGGTTACGGTTTTAGGCCTCGCGGTACAGATGGATACACAAATGCCATCTGAGCTTTAACTTGCGGCGGCCCCTCAGCTTGAGGCCGCAGGCTCCACTTGCATCATGTGCTTTGCATCTGCAGGAGGCTTGGGAGCTCCGTGAGCTTGCAGTGCTGGCCCTTGGTGCCGTGGCCGGTGCGACTCGGAAGAGAAGTTATGTCAGGAGTTCGTCTCGCTGAGGCTTCGTTTCGTCCTGTGGGCTTAAGGGCCTGGCTCCGACTTTCAAGGCTTGAGTTATGTACTGGCCTTTCCGGTGCGCTGTACAAAAGGGTGCCGCATGATGTTCAGGCGTTTGGGATCCTTTGTGAATGGTGCTGCCTTCGTGCTGTGCCGTAGTCGTAGTTGTCCTCTGCTTGGTAAATATGAACTTGTTACAGGACAATGCAGAGTGCCGTGGGTACAGCCAGTTTGAGTTCAATTTGTAGACCTGCTCTCAACCCACGTGAGAATTCTCGAGCGGATCAGCCTGGACTCGCATCCTAAGTACTCGTTTGTCTTACCTAGCCTTTTGTTTTCGGCGCCAGCTGCATGAGAGATGTGAACAATCGCAGTGCATATCGTGTCTGGCCAAGGCCATCAACTTGAAATTCCTGCTTCTCGGCTGATCGACTTGTAAGAGGTAGTACGGTTTCGGGCTTCTGCAGAAACTACTGTAGCATCGGAGTCATGGGTGATCCCATGAGATGTCGAGCCATCCTCGTCCGTTTCCATTGCGTACCTTCTCGTTGTGTTCCTGTTGCGATACGGCAGCACCTCTAGCGTTGACGAAGTCTGTAAAGTAAAGCAATGCTGTTGATGTTAGTGAAGAAGTGCATGCGAGACTACGATGTTTCATTATCACACGAAGGATCGCATACTGTTCTCAATCTAGCCTTGTAAACTCGTGTTGTCTGCGTATCAATCGGAGTAGTTCGGTATCACAAAACAAATGGTAAGCCATGGCAGTCGGTCAGAATCCCATCCTTCTGAGGCTGGTGGAGGACGTCAAAGCTCTGCTATCAGCCTGCGATGCACCACAGGGCAATTGCCTCAGTCCAAACAGAAACGTGAACGGAGGATTGAGGATGCTTCCGGCCAGCCCTGGAAGCAGCGTGAGCCGTTCACTTGTTCACAACACTTCCTTCGTGTACATGTTGCCGAAGCCACCAAGTTCCGACAAGAGCCTTACGTAGTTGCGGCATTATGCATTTCACAGCCACCTTCTCCAGCAACCCGAACCTTTAAGCTCCAATCAGTATACAGCTGCAGGGCTTAGAAAACTCGAAACAGTCCCAACAGTCTCGGGGCCCTCGTTCCAGGCCTCCTTCGCTGCACTGCGCTCTGGGCGGCATCTCGATTCGTCCCTCTGCTGGTGGAGCACCAGGAAGCTGTTCCAGAGAGCCAGGACGGGCGATCAATGTCATTTTTTCTAGAGTGCGGCAATGCGTCTCGTGGCTCTTCAATCCCCCTACTCACCGCATTTGCCCTTCTTGGAAGAGGTGCACCGTGATCAGTTCCGATTGAGCCGTCAAAGGCACACCTGATTAGCAAGGAGCTTCTGGACCAGATGCGAGAAGTCTTCTTCAGCCGGCTGAAGGACCCGAACAGCAAGGCTCCGACAGGCTAAAGGGCGGCTCCGAGGGCCTTTCCCAGCCTTATAAGGCCCAGACTCTCCCATCAAAGGTGAAATCGGCGGCTGCAACCGGCGCCTGTGAGCTCCTGGAGAAGAACTCGGCGCAACTGCGACAGCATGAGGAGTGGATCCTGGAGGAGAAGAGCTTCGGACTCGGGATGGAGAGGTTGTGCTCTCCTAAGCGTTGCTTGAGGGCCTTTAGGACTTAGGATTAGTGGCATCATTGGGCGTTTCAGGCAAGATTCTGGTGTTCATGATTGATTGTAGGTAAACTGCCTTTCGTTTCGCTTGGGTCTGCCCAAATCGCCTAAAAGTCTAGACAGGTTGGAGACCTCACTTAAGCCAACTGGCGTTCAGCCCCCAGGCTTTGGAATTTACGATGTTAACTCTACCACAAGAAGCTGCGACGACAGAGGAGATGCAGAAGGGCATCCGCAGTGCTGCTGGTGGGGGCGGTGGTGCCCTCCCTGCCCTTTGCGATTCCGTCACCACAATGTCACCTGACGTCGGATGCAGGTTAGACGGTTAGACCTCCAAGGACCTCTGAAAAGATTCCAGGGCATTGGCCATTGCGCATGCCTATATAGCAATGTTGTGTGTATATATATATATATACATCTACACATACGCACACACACACACGCATCGAACAGTATGGGCGTTTGAGTTGGGCTCAACTTTGGCGGACCAGCTCAGCAGATCTGGGCTCTCCGAGCAAGTCCCGAGGATGGAACAGCGGGCCGGCAAGCGGCTCCAAACCGCTGGAGCCCATGGGGGACTGTTAGCCGAGCTGAACGCCCAGCTCGACTCTTCTCTGCACTTCAGTCCGGGCTTGGAGTCCAACTTGGGACCATGGTTTGGGTAGAGGGTTTGAAATCAATGTCGTCGTCATCACCCCATCGTTACCACCGCCGTCATCGTCGTGTCGGCGTCACCAACACCGGTGACACCACCCACTATCATCAGTTGTTCACCATCATGGGCGCCTGTGTCTTGATGGTATCACCCCTGCAGACATTCGCCGCAATGACATTGCCATCCCTGCCGTCATCGCACACGTCACGAGAGAAATGCAGTCGCAGAAGTCCGGTTTTCTGCGTCGAATGGCACCGACACCAGGACGGGGCGACTGATGCCACTTCAAGCTGCATCTTCGAGGCCTTCGCGGCCTTCGCATCTGGCTGGAGTGACGAATTCCTGGCGATCTGCCCGAAGATTGCAAGGCGAGGCTTCAGACAACTAGTCCCTCAGCTCTGGTATGGGAGCCTTGAAAAGTCACTCGGATTGCCCAGCAGTTGAAGCCTGCAAGGCACGCGGTTCGAGTGATCCGCAACGGCATCTATCCTGCGCCTGCGGCCGCGGCCACATCTGCGTCCACTGAAGTGCCACATGTCGAAGATGGCATCCCAGCAGCCTGGCCCGGCAAGTTCTTGCTTTTCTACGGCAGCAATGTGTTGGTCTAGAGTCTAGAGACTGGCTGAAATTCACATCTGCTCAGCTCATTTAGCTTTAGCACGAATGCCACGGCTGAGACGTCGGGGACATCTGTCTACAAACCGTCGACGACATCCCAGAACACAGAACCTAGGTGTCGTCCTTCTGGGCCCTCCCAGAAAAGTGAAAACAGATGCCTATTAAAATTTCTGCTGTGGTGTCGGGTCGACGATCTGGAATCGGCATGGACTGCTTGGATAATCGGACAAAGCTTCTTAGTAGCTGAAGCTCACAGGTGACTGTGTGTTCTATCACGGGAGCCACCCTCCTCTGCGTGCGCCTGGATGGGGATCTCCGCGGTGCTGAACTCCGAGACATGGCTTCGCGGCACCTCAGCCGGAAGTGGCGGTTTGAAACTCAACAATTCTTGCGCTCGCTTCACCAGCTCCTCCAATGCCACCAGCAGTTGGCTTCCAATAACCCACACCAAGCTCGACATTAGTTCACCAATTTTGCGGAGTTGTTGCTCGACATATCTTGCACCTTCTTTGCCTCTGCGTGTGATCTCTGATCACAGTGGTTTCACTTCGCGGAGATGAGAGACAACTGTACAGAGGGCTCGGGACGAAGCCCGATTTGGGAGTTTGGGTCGATGTGTTTACGATGCAGGCCTTGCATTCAGAGCTTGCGGAGCACCTGAGGAGCCTCAACGGCAGGCACTGCAAGAGACTTGGATCGAATTCGCGCACAGGAGGGTGCCAGGAGTAGGGTCTCGCGAGGAGCTGCGGGGTCGCCAAGCATGTCGCTTTCGAAGCATCTGTTCAACACTGTACCGTGAACCATACTTCATAGATACGTGGGTGTGTGAAATAGATACACAGATGCACGGGCAAACAGGTACACATGGATAAAGATATCATGCAGCTCTTTTGTAGATGAGTCGATAGCACTGAAGCGACCACATCAACCAAGACATCCCCGGAGTCCTTTGAGGTTGGTTGTGGCAGACCAGATCCTGCCGGAGCATTTGTCACTGTCAGAGTTCTGTGCCCGGGGTACTCTGAGAGAGCTGATTCTGACCGCGCCGCTGGGCCGGAATGTGCAACTCAGGGATCAGGGGTTCGGACTTGAAGGATCGATGTAAACGCTGAGGACGCTGAATGATTGTTGCCATTTTTAGTCAGGATCTTTGCAGTTGCTGCCAGCAGCGGATTCCTTAGAGGCAAATCTGAGGGTTGTCTAGTTGAAACAATCCTCACGACCTCGGCTTTAATTTCTCTTCACCCGACACTAAGGATCGTCGTCCCATCACATGAAGGCGTGAACGCCGCCCTGGATTTTCTCGAGTGCGTCGTTGAGGCAGCCTTTACTTTGTGTTGGGGCCACAGGCTCGGCTTGTTTAAAGGTTTGGGGGGGCTGATGCTGTTGCACAGTGTCATGCGTTAGGAGCGTTCAGAAGGCATCGAAAGACTGGGCTTCACAACCTGCAGGGTTTCCAGGTCGGACTCTGCGGCCCATGTGCATCATACAACCTTTGCGCGCACAAACACCACCAACGACCCCTGCCGCAACTTGTACTAAACTCTGACAATCTACGACTGCCACTGCTGCCTGCTACTACGACGACTAACCGCCATGACCGCGACCACGAACGACCGACCACGACCACTACTAGCACTACCACGACCGTTACGACTACTTCTGCAGCTGCTTCTACTACGAGGACTACTGCTACTCCTCCTCCTCCTACTACTACTACTACTACTACTACGACCTACCACTATCACTAAGACCACAACTACCACTGCCACCCGCTGCCACTACCACTACCGCACCACTACCGCCGTCACTGCGACCACCAAATTCTGCGACTACCAACCCCACCACCACCGCCGCTGCCACTGCCACTGCCACTGTCACTCCCACACAGCCACCAACGCTACCTACAACGACGAAGACCACGACGACGACTACTACAGCGACCACTACCACCATCCCACTACCACGACTGCAACTAGAGCTGCAACAACTACCACCACCCCACTACCAGGTTCAGGTGGCACTTAGATGATTGCCAAAGCATGGCGAGCGTTTGCGACTGGAGGCAATGGGCGAGATCCTCTGCAACGAAGCCAGCATGCCCTGGAAGGATATTGTATCTCTCGCTGCAGCTTTGATGCACCGGCGTGGGCTCGGAGTCTCCGCGTGTTTGGTTCAGAGCGTTATGGGGTTCGGTAGGGGGTAGAGCGGAACAAGAAGATCCTTGCTTTGCATCGTGCTGGCTCGATGGCTTCAAGGTCTGGTAAGGTACGCCCTGGGTGCAAACAAAGTCCCCAGGTCGAATGCTTGGAGGAAGAGCGCAAGATGCCGAGAGAGGTGCTGCAAAGCACGTATTGCTTGCTGGGCACCCTTTGCAAGTCCGAGCAGGATCCTCCGGGAGAGCTTGCAGCGTCGGAAGTCCGGGGTTGTGGTGTGCTTTGGGGGTCAACCAAACTTCAGCCCTGTCTACCCTGAAGCCTCGAAGCCCGACTTCGCTTGAACTCGAACCTTGGATGCTCTTCCCTTTCCATAGTTTCAACTTTGTCAAGCCCGTGCAGTTGAAGTCTGGAAGGGACGGTAGTGTGAAGCTGAAGCAAGTGTGTCTTGCTGATAATAATTTACCCCTGGAACAGAGTTGTTCTGGTGAAGCTGCCACCAAGCGTTCACAGCCTGAGCATCCATGCTGCCTATCTATGCACGGCCCCGACACTCCGAACTTTACCCCTTTCGTGGAAGCCTTTCTTCAGGAAGTGCTGGATGCTCACTTGCGCAGTGTTCGCATGAGACTGCCGAAGCTGCTGGTGCCCGGCATTCGGAGGGAAAGCCAGAAGTCGGTTCTAAGGCACGGTGTAGCAAGGTTGTCTGTTGTTGTCCCTGGAATTGCTTAGACTGTGCCGCGTCTCAGAGCATGAAGTCGCAGTATCGCAAGGTTTGCAACAATGCCATTTGGGTGACAATCTGTTGGAATCGTCTCTTTGCCGAGATTGATCTCCCAGTCGAAGACTCCTGCAGCCTGGGCTCAGCTCTCCAGCATATCGCGAAATCGACGGAGTCGCTTCTCCGAGATCAAAGACGCATGGCCTGTGTTGCCTGGTCTCTCATTGCGGCCAGGGTCCCCGAAGTGGCTCAGAATCTGGAATCAATCATCAAATGTTGGCTGCTGACCATGACCGCCGGCGAGGATGAGGTGGATGTTGAGGCCTGGGCTGGTTTTTCTGTGGCTGCAAAGTCTCAGCCAGAGATATTGGTCAGCCATGCCAACGAGCTGAAACGCACCATCCAGTCGGTCAGGAGAAGCTTGGCAGGTGTCAAGCAGCATTTCTACATGGCTAGAAGCCCGCATGTTAAGCTCCCACCAGCAAAAAGCCAGCTAAGGAAATGAAGTGCAAAAAAGGCTCAGGCTGATGGAGCCGCATTTTGAAGAGCTCCTGACACTGTGTGAGCCTGCTCGCACTGTTGGGCAGGAAGCGATGCAAAGCTAAAAGGCTTTTGCGGTCGATTTCATGAAAAATCCTGCTGGCACGTGAAGCTCTCGAAGCCCCCTGCTTGCGATGATTTAGGTGGGACCTGCGTTGACCTACTATCATGTGTCCATAAAGAGTCGCAAGCTTTCGGCCGGGGCAGGGGACATTAGCTTCAACGCTCACAGCGAAAGGCCCTGACCTCCTGAAGCGCCTGGACCTCAAAAGGACCGAGCCTTTCGTTTCGCAAGGCCCTGGCCCTCTCCTTGGAGTGGCCTTGGCCTTGACCTGCCTCTGGGGCAGATCGTTTGTCAGCCCGGGCAGGCGGGCTGCCGGGGCTCGGATGGGTTGCATTGTGACTGACCGTTCTCAAACGCACCAAGAAGGAGCGTCGTGGCTTGGACTTGCATTCGTAGGCTCTGATGTATGGCCAACCCTCAAACTACAATGAGTGGCAGTGGTACATTGGAAGGAAACTATGAGACACTGTAAACAAGCTGTCAAGCCTGGGGGGCCTCCACAGTTGGTCATAGTACTGTTTGTGATAGCTTCTCTTCGTAATTAATAAAATAAAATACATCCGTCAACCACAGACTGCGCATGTATGAAGATGTACTTGCGTATCATGCATGTGTTCATGCATATGTGCATGTGTACGTGTATGTATGTGTATGCTGTGTATGTGTGTATATATGTCTACATCCATGTGTGTTTGTCCAAGTCTATGTCTATGTATATAAATCTGTGTCTGCGTGTGTGTGTGTGTATGTATGGATGTATGCACGTACGTATTATTGTGTACATGGATGGATGTTGTATGTACGTACGTACATATGTATGCATATATGTGTGTATAGGGAGATGCACATGTATATGTGTGTTTGTCTGTCTGTATGTATGTATGTATGTACACATGCAAAGGCAGGAGCAGTTATGTGGTGCTACATGCTAAGGTTCCCGAAAGCCTCGGCAACCTGAATCGTCGTGTGCGAACTCCCCAGCTTGCTCTGCAGAAGGCTATGCTCCAACCAAGTCTCCCAAGCGCTGAGAGGAAGCTTCTGTGTGCTCTCAATTTTGCGGGGGTTCTTCGAGGTTTGGGTTTCAGATTGCAGGACTAGGACGTGACTGACCAGGACGTACAGCAAAGCGTCCTGGAGCATGTGGAAGAAAGATCCGGATCTGCGAGTTGGAACCGTGATGTTGGCATAGCTGCCGTGCGCATCAGCTTTCGATTCGACTCGAGCCTAGAACCTGGAATGATTGTGGATTCGGTTCCTGAGCCTGCAAGCCCCTCTTGTTCCGACTAGGTCCTAGCTCATCTTGAAAGTTCAGGATAAGCAGAAAGGTTAAACACGAGAAACAAAGCGGCCAAGAGCGCGACATCGTGTCACTGAGATGCTAAACAATCCAAAACCGTTCAGACTGTTGCGCTTAAGCACCTAAGTGAGCTGGTGATACTGTGCTATAGCTACTATAGTCAGGATTCCAAGACGGATCAGGATGTGTGCTGGCCTACAGCTACATCAAGATCTCAGACCTGCTGATTCTTCGGTATGTGGTCACAACTCCACCCTTGCTGTCATTGTTCGTAGAGCTGTCTCTACTGTCACGGGCTGTTCGCAATATGAAGTGGCGTTTTCTCAAGAATCTCAGATCCTCAGATCTTCTGAGTCCAATCAAACCCCAATAACTGTCGACTGTCCGCAAGAGAAATCCCTGAATCTGCAACTGCAGAAACGGATCCGGCCCACAGGCTAGAAGGAAGCTCCGAGACGAGCCTTGTGCAGGACGCCGGGGTGTCCCGCCGCTTTCAGCAAAAGCCTCGGAGGAAGCCCTGGAGCTGGGGCAGATCGACGAGCCGCTTGGCCGGGGGCGTTCTTGAGTTTCAGGTTGTCTTGGCCTAGTACTGGTAGCTAGGAAGCGTATGAGGGGGGACACGCTTGGGCACGAAAGGGCAATGGTGCAGCTAATGTCTTGTTGGCTTTACGCGTCTAGCTGCTAGCTTTGCACCGTATTGAGGAACAGTTCGGAGTTGAGATACTGGATAAAGCATTAAGTAGGTAGTGGAAGCCTTTGGATGCAAGGATTACGAGGCGAAGGCTGAGCCGCTTACTTGAGGCCCGCGCATCCATGCTTCAGATGTCGGGTCCGAGTGGCATGTCGATGTTTGCCCTTTTCTTGGGTCACGGCTTCGGGCTCGGAGGTCCGACTGAGAGGGGCTGGTGTTTGGCAGATGTGCCACCCAGGTTCGTGGACTCGATCTGGGGCCCCTGACTTGCACATGCTGGGGAGTCTGATGTTGAATAGGCCGTTTCAGTCTCAACATGTAGTGCCTATGTAGCGATAGCGATTACTGGAGACAACGTAGAAGGTTTGCCACGACTCTGAGGATTCACTGCGACAAGGCATCGCACTCGTCAGCTTGTTGTGGAACTGAGGTAACGCCAAGTCCCTACTCGATTCCGAGCTTGGGAAAAAGCTGACCGACCTGGCCGGTGAGGAGAGGTTCTTGTTCCACTAAAAACACCTACACGAGGTTTCATGTTGCTTAGAGACTTCCAGCAACTCGTGTACGCTCGACGCTTGTAACGCGAATGTGTAATCATAAACCCTTCGGCTGAGCCCAGAACTCCTGGTTGGAAGTGCAGTGGGAGAGACGGCCCTGCGTCAGGTTTTAGTTGTTTCTCATTGTTCCGATGCTCTCTGTCCATCAATCAGAGGGCGCCGGCATGCCTGGCACGGGAGGGCTTGCTAGTTCACGTTGAATTTCGTTCGCAGTAAACGGAACATGGCTTTCACTTCTCACTTGCTGCATACCTGATACTGCATCATCCCGATATTGTCCGTGCTGGGGCAGGTCTAGGATGCCTTCACCGGAACTGAGCAGATGGGCATCATCCGACTGGGTTCTTTTCGTGTCATGAAGCTGCTCCCGCCCACATCACCCGCTGTTCCTTCTTCGTGTCCAATCAAAAAAGCAAAGCAACAGAAGAAGAACCTAGGCCCTAAGATTCGACGATGAAACCCCGCCGGCCCGTCGCGTTGTCCTATGCTTCTCGGTACCTCTGGAGGAGCGCCTCGAAAGCACCAAAGCCGGGATCAGCGCTACAGGCGACGGACGGAGGGCACGTCGTCGAAATCGCCTACCTGTAACTGGAGTTTTCAAGCTCGATCCCATTAGGGTTGGACCCTAAAGGTGTTAGCAATGAGAGCTCACTGTTCTCATGGAAGGTATGAAACCAACAGGTTAGGCTCTTTGCCTATTCATTCGGCGGCAGCAGGTTCAGATCAGAGGGAGATATTCGGCGAAGGGACCTGAGACAAGCTCAGGGTTGCGACTCTGCCGGTCACAGAACGCCATGATCGATGCTGTTCTTCCGCGTTTGCCCTACCAGTGAAGGTTCTGGCGCAGTAGCCATGATTCCAATCAGACACTTGGCAGCAAAGCAAGAGGTTTCACGGATTTCACCAGCGGGGAGTGGATGGGTGGCGATCCCGTATGGGCAAAACGGGAAGTCGTAACGATGCGAATCAGCCCTGGGATCCCAGAAGCCGCAGAAGCCTATAAGAGGGGCCTCAATAATTACCAATACTATTCTGGGGGTTCCTAATTGTAACTATCGTGAACTATCCCCCAAAACCCTATTCTAATTATTGAGGCCCCGTTTTTTGAGCCGAAAGAGCGAGGTCTGCTGGACCCGGATCGGCTCACGCCTCGCTGGGAGTTTCAGCTCGAGCCCAGGCCCTGATCATATGAAGCAGTCTAAGGAGGGATGAGTCGTAGTAGTAGTAGTAGTAGTTAGTATATAGTCGTGGGTCAGGACCATGCCTCGTTCGAAGGATATGAGGTGAGTGCATTAAGCCGGCCTATTGAGGACATGCTGGCGCTGGACGTCTTTCTCTTCGGATTAGTGTGGCGGTGGCTGCAGTTCACGATGAGCTACCTCTCTCATTGTGGTGTTCGCACAATCCCGAGCAGCTTCAGGCAGACTTAATCGTTGCAGTCCGTGTTTAACGTGCAGGGTGGCGAGCTTCCAATGAGACTCGGGAATGCGAGATAGTTGTTGACCCTCAGGCCCAGGCCTTCAAAGCTCCAGTCTGCAAGGTATCGCTACGCAGTTCGCACGGGAGACGACAATCCCATGCTGCGGCTAGGTCGACGGCTTCAACTTGGGCCAAAGGGGTTTCGAGAAGTCTTGAGGATGTCTTCAGCTGGGTGTCAGGTATTTAGCACCATCCTTGCGTAGAAGGTCTTTCGGGAGTGGTAGCTTCCCACGACGCGGGGGCAATATCATCCGATTCTCGGGTTCGGGAGTTTGACTTAGTACCCCAGCATTGATCAGGCCCAAGCGTCGACGAATTTTGAATCAAGCAAAGGTTACCGGTTGCCACCGTCAGCGTTGCTGGCCGTGTGAGAGTAGCTCCTCATGCCTAGCATATCTGGCGGGCGGGATTGAGATGATCACAGACAGGGAGAAGTGGGAGCCGGGTAGACTGCGAAATATTCAAGTGGGGAAGGCTTGGCTTCTCTTTGTTCTGAGGCAGTACACAGTCCAGGAAATTGGGCAAGCCCTTGGGGCTGTTAACTGTGAAGATGCGCGGGACACCAAGTGAACCTAGTTTCGCCAAGCTTAGGCTGGCGGTCTCTAGTAACCGTATTATAACTGTACTATACTATACAACGGTTGTGCGAACGGTGCCTCGAATGGTCGAATGTAAGCCCTACAAACGCCCTGTCATGGCTATGGCAGGCGTGTTGGGCGCTTTTGCTTTGCCGCGCGCACTGTTCCTTGTGCGCATGCCGGCGGAATGCCAGGACACAGCTTTTCAGGTTTGGGTTGAGGCTCACTGAGTTGCCTTTCCGAGGGTACGCTCCTGCAGCTCGCGACTTGTACTGCCCATGGTCGGATTGAGTTGAGGATTTGCTGCTTCTCAGCAATGCAATGACACACCGTGCAATTCCGCAATTCCGTGCCTGGACGGAAGAAATCACCCAAACCTCCGTGACCTTGGAACACTCCAGATCTGAACCCAGGAAAGATCTTCATAGAAGTAGGCAAGTGTCAGGCGCTTCCTCTCAGCTGTGGCCCACCGCTCGGCCACATGGCAGCACGAGATACAATCTCACCAACAGTAACGACGATGGGAGCGATGCGCAATGCATGTCTGGAGTTATCACCATCACGGTCCCCATCATCATCATCATCATCATCATCGCCCGTGCCGTCATCATGACACTTCCTGGTATCTTCATGTGTTACATCATCGCCTTATTCTCGCCATTGCTGCAAGTGCCGTTCCGAGTACCATTATGATCCTTGGCATCGTAGCAGCAGTGGCAATGAACAGCAGCTGCATGAGTACGGTTTAGGTTGGCAGACCCCGCCATGCATGGTAGCTACACGGACTCGAACAGAATCACCGTCTGCAACCCCCAGTTTGCTCTTCCATTTTCTCAAGCTGCGATGTCCATGAAAAATCGAATCCTTTCCAAGTTTGGCTTTGCCTCCTGATTGCGGCATTGGTTGGGCAACTGCGTGCAGTCAACCCTAAGCCATGTGTAAAGAGGCAAAACTTTTTCACACACCGGCAGTGCTCGACACGAAATGACTCAAATCGGCATTGGAGAATTTCGAGACCTTGACGTCGTGGGTCTGCACACAAGGTTATTTCAACTGGGACATGCTGGCCCAGGCATGGACTTTGATTGTTAAGTGACAGGTTGCAAGGAGGTAAGCCTCAGTGAAAAGATGTGGCATGGTTGGCAGCGAATTGTGCAGGGACGAGTGGGTTCTGATGCGACATTGAATGAAGGGTCCACAGGATTCTCCTTGGCTTCGGAAGCAGATAGTATAGCCAGTATAGCCATACCAGACGCCTGTAACTACTAACCTGGATGCAGGATTGTAGTTCATTGGTAACGCCCGATTGAAAGACGTCTTTGGCACGCAATCACCAGACGCTCCAAAGACGCATGCTCTGGACAGCAACACAGCAGATTTGCTATGGTGGTTGGACGTTTGCTTGAAAGAAACAGCACAGGTACGATTCAGCAATTTGCGCATGTCATATGTATTGGCATGTCAGCGTGTCCAGCAGCCATCAACACTTTCAAGACCGGGGGATTTTCCTGCCAGGGGAGCGTAGATTCGAAGCGACGCGCAGATCTACGAAGCCGTGAACGAGTCCCCGATAATTGCTTTGCCAGCTGGGACTTCGGGCCGTGAGGTCGCGTGGCATTTCTTTTCCGGCACACTGGTCTTCGCCGTGGCGCTTTACGGGTTGGCGCGGTTCTTATTGCGCTCGTTCTGCATCTCCATCTCTTTGTAGTTTATGACAGACAGGAGGCCGAAACCTCGCAGCCACAAGCCACCACCCAAATCACAAGTTCCTGCATGCAAGTAGTCATGGCTCGGCTAAGGAGCGTGCAATAGCCACAGGCTTCGTACGCCGCTTCAACTCGTCCTGAACGGCCCGAACCGAGATGGAAGACCGCGCGGGATCCGAAATCTGCTGTGCGGCTGCATCCATCCAGAGATGAACAGTGCCGGCATGTGTGCGTTTGACATGCCTATGGCCGAGCACCAACCAAATTGAAAGGATTATGGCGACCCAAATGGTTTCAGGTTTGGCAGGGTAGATCTTCAGGTCGATTACCTTGTCGCATGGGCTGCTAGGTGCACATGCAGTGAAGCTTCAGAAGGGCAAACGACGGCAGCCATTACGGCTCAATGCCTGGAGGCGTTCCGGCAGTTTCTTGTCCATGGGTGCCATGGAGGAGGGGATCGCAGCTCCGGGGAACAAGCACAGTGACGAGCCTCCGCCATCAACAATTGAAGGCCCCCAGACGGCGGACAGCCCAAAATGTGGCGCAGCGAGCTCCACTCAATCTGGCTGCTGGAAAAGGCCCCGGGCTGCATCCAGGGCTTCAGGGACCTGCGGTCGTGCTCAGTCTGACTCTTCCTTAGTGGAGTCCAAGATGGACTCACCACTCACAACCCTTGAGCAAAACTTGGGCCTGTTAGACAGTCACGAGACCCTGTCAGACGAGGCTGAATTTCCTGAAGCTTTGCGTGTTCCTCCCCGTGTGCAACGGCATCATTAACGGCATGCTCTGGTCCGCGAACTCGCTGCACTTCCAAGAACAAGGACCCTGCCACAGAGATGCGAGTTGAATCGGGACGGAGTCGGTGTTGGGTTTTGAGCGTCCGTTAAGAGCCCAGCGTAGACTGACTTTGATCCTGCGGGCAAGAGCACCAGGATGGCCTCTTGAGCGCCTGGGTCTCTACGGCCTACTTTCCTCGGTCCTCAGACTGGTCATGACACAGTTGACCAGCCGCTTCGGCCCCTGGTTTTCCCTGATGATCAACATCATACACCTTGCCTGCCTGGTGCCGGTCATGATCAGCGACCAAGAGGACCCTGGCGTGAATTGGAGTGTCTTCCTTATGGCAGTCATGCCGCTGATGCTATATCGTTCAGTCCGTGTGATTGCTCACGCTTGTTAGGGTGCTGCCAGAACATCAGCTTGCTGTTTAAATGACCGCATCGAAGGTTGCTCGCTAAGACGGGGCTCAGAGTTTGAATTTGTGTAGCCTCCTAAACTTGGATTGCGTGCAGTGCCTCGTATTTGCATGGTTTCCAGAATTGTCCAGGCATCAGTCCTTTCCGCCTGTCCACATAAGTGCGTCAAAGGAATCAAAGGCTTGTCGGCACAGGACTCGTGGCCCCGCCATTGCAGTTTCCAGCTGAATCCATCTCATCTTAGCAGAATCATGAAGCAAGCTGTAGTCGTGTTGCATGTGCTGTTGCCCATCTGCGCGAGGAGTGGCGTGTGACGATGCAGTTTGTTGTCCAAGTTTCTTTGGATGCGATTCTGGCCAACGATGCCTTCGTGTTCTTCCATTTCTCGGAATCAGAGAGCGAAGCTGCATATGCAACCTCTGCACAACTGCAAAGCTCTTTAGCTCAAGCTACTCTTTAGCTCAAGCTACACATCAGAGTCATTCCTCGAGTTGAAGTGCAAATGCCTTGAAAGTGTAAGGCTATGTGCTGGGCTACGCCAGTGCCTCAACGATTGGCGGGATCATCTATGATCTTGCGAGGTGGCCCGGACTGGCCACCACCCACCTCATCCTACAAGCGAGTGTATGTGGGGTGCTTCTGATTGAACCATGTGTTCACCGCAGCATTAAAGACCTATGCCGCCGAAAGGAGGATAAAGAGGAGGCTATGAATGCAGTGTTGCCCGTATCCATTTGCGTCCCGGAAGCAGTGGAGCCAGCACCCGTTGCAGCAAACCTTCCTGGAATGGTCGACACTTCGCAAGATCATCCACAGGTTGCTTGGACGGACTGGTGCTCAGGGCTCAATCTTCGCCAACCCAACCACCAATCCGATTTGCTGCTCTTTGCTGTGCTTCGGCTTCTGCATCCCGGTTGACTGAATCACCGGATCGGGCATGTAGAAACTTCGTGCGGACTGACGGACCGTCGCATCTGCTGCTTGCGCTTTGCCAGAAACTACCACTGTCTGGCATAGGACACAAGACTCCCTCACGGATATACGGATATGGCGTTGGCGTGACCACTTAGGTCAGGGCTGCGCGCACAGCACGCCTGCCGATGTCATCACGATAAGGCTACATTGTATCTTTCCGTATCTGCTCCGGGACTAGCGGCTAGCGGTGATTTCTTTCATCCTTTGTTCAAGCTATCGTCGTTCTCCCTGGACTCATGAGTCATAAGTGGCTCTGCGTCGACATACATACAAATGGAAGCGCCAAATCCAGGATGATGGTTTTCGCAACCGGTCCCGGTTCTCCTCTGACAACAGTACCATCTCTGTGAGCTCCAGCAAGAAGGATGCGAATGCTGCCCAGAAATCAGAGCACCTCGGCTGGATAATGTGTTCTCCATTGTCTTGTTAACACAAAGCCCAAGCACTTGCGTTTCCATGGAAGCAGCTAAGGCATGCACAGTTGCCTTCCGACTCCAATGTGTTCGACCCCTCGACGGCTGTGGTCACATCTTCCCAAGTTGATAAAGAATCTTGGATGGCCAGTACTCTTTCTGTTAGCATCTCAAATAGCACCAAGTCCCTATTTGCGGACTTCTCGGTTCTGGTGTTTGGTTGATCATGAATCATGAAATTGTATCGAAGCCCAAGCTTGACACGGAGGGCCGTGGCGCCACGGCCAAGAGGCCACGCTTCGACACCGACCAAAGCGACGCCAGCCAAGCTTCGCACACCTCGCAGGTGAACCAGCGAGAGCCAGGGCCATTTATAGATTCGGGCTTCAGAGTCAGAGGCGTTCAGAGTAATTAGGTCGGACTGGGAAAGGCAAAGCTGACCGTAGATAGGGCTGCCTTTGGCAGGCACGTCTCTCCATGCTGTTGGCAGAGACCAGGCCACCAAACCGCAATTCACTCGTGCTCATCCCAGTACAGACGCAGAAGGGCAAACTGCACAGAGATCTTTGGTTTCCAGCCTTCCTATTGGCCACATTTAGCTTCATGTACAACTGTGCATACGTTGGCGAGTGGGCTCTTTTCGCCATCTACTTCAAAGAGCAGCACAACTGGGACTCGGCAACTTGGGCAGGCGTGGCACAGTCCTCTGGTGACATTCTTGCCGCAGTAATCCTGCAGATTCTTGCGCGGGTTGCACCCCCTTCCACGGAAAAGGAGGAAGCGGGCTTCAAAGCAGGGGGTGCCAAGAAATTATGGTATGCGATTTCGTCGAAGCCCTACAATGCGGTTTGGTGCTGCCTGTGGTGGGTCCTCCTTTCTGCCGGAATGACCGTCCCAAATTTGCCTGTGGTGGTACTCTCCCAGGTCCTCATGGGAACGTTGTATGTGATTAGCATGCAGACCACCACTCGACTCAACACGTTCTACTCCTTGGGCGATCCCGACGTCTTTCTCAAGCTGCAGCTCGTTAAACTGAACTCCGAAGCTGTGGGCAACGCCATCGCTGTCGTCACAGCCATGGTTCTCTATGAGAGAGCGCCGGCCTCGGCTGAAACGTCAGGGCTTACTCTTGGTTTAGTTACTTAATCAACGGAGATTCAAACGAGTGCTTCTCCGGCCAGCCAAAGCTGCAACAGCGTCCCACAGGCCATTTGCAGCCAGACACAGAACCCTGGCCGACCATGGGCATTACATCCACATTATGTCGTTGTCAGGGAAGCAGAACGGGACTTTCACACAAGGACCCCATCCCTTGTGAATCGATTCCAACGCCATGGCAACTTCGCGCTTGTCAACCACTTGTGCCGAAGTAACCCACAGACCGCTCTTTCCGAGCCATGTATTGAGAACGAGAATATCCAGGGGAAGGAGAGGAACACGCCTCAATTGTCAGCGTTTGAGAGTTCCAGACTGCCTCCTGGGCAAACTTGCTAGTTCATCGTGTTGGCCTTGAGAGTCATCTGAAGCGACAGCCCTTGACATTCAAACTGCACAACATGAAATGTGAGCTCTGAACTCTCCCACGAACCAGGTCCACCCCAACGCACCGTTCTACGTCAGCGCTGGCATGGGCATGCCGCTGGTCTTCATGTGGCCAGGTCCCGGCGGGGTCTTCATTTTGGCGGATTCGAAGGCCTGCAACCTTTAAGTCGAGGCACACCGTCGAGCTTGTAGTTAAGAGTTTACGAGACATCGAACATGTTTAGCGGCAGCACGCGGACTATCAGAAACATAAAGTGGCATAGAGACTGGACTTAGAGATGTGGTCATGAAGAAGTCGGTTCAACGCCGAAGGTCCCCGACTGAGGCTGTCCCCAGTCTTCTCAGAGACAAATTGACGTAATGCAGACTCAGGCTGGCATTCGTCGTTGTCTTCGTGGGCTTCAACACTCGTGCTGGCTGCGGGCAATCTCTTGAAAGCGCAGAGGCTGGCAGGGCAAGGCGGCTTGGTTTGTCTAGGACCAAAACTTGGAATGTGTAATGAATCAGGCAAGCCGTTTGCTCTGCTTTCGCCGGTGCAGAAATGCAGAGCTTTCAAGGGTGCAGTAATGCTCTTCCGTAAACGAAACGCCTCGAGAAGGACAACTGTGTACAGATCTCGAAGACGCAAATTTTGTCAAGCATGTGGTCGGTTTCTTCAAGACAAGTGCCTGATCGCCATGTTAGTTATGTTTTCCAGCGACACAGTTCTTGTGGCGTCGCTATCCCAAGGGTTTCGCTTCATGTTCAAGAAGTTTGCTTCTTGGAGCTGTTCCGAAGTGATCCTTAAGCTCTTGACCGTTCCAATTGTTTTTGATCGCCGTCAGTCTTAGATCTGACCGTCCACAAGATGCTTCTGAACAAGACATGAAGAAAGAGCCAAAAGCTCTCAGAGGGGCAAACGTCTACTGTTCTTATGCTATTATATTACAGTGAGAAGTGGACGGCTCAGACGTGCTGGCCACACGTCAAGCGTGTGGCGCAGACATCAACATCTGTGCTGTTGGTCACGAAGATCAATGCGCAGCTACAGCTTCGAGACAACTGCCGTCTGAAAGACTCCCTGCGAAGTTCACGAGCTCATTTTGCTGGGTCGCTGATCTTTCGTGAGGATTGCAGATCTCATTGTTCAACGTGGGCTATGCATCATCTCGATTGAACTCCATGGTCATGGGCTAACTCATAATATGTGAACAGACGGGTTTTGATATTTCAGCTTGAAATAGAATATTCCACAAACAGCGTGGCTATCACACATTGTGGGTTTCTTACGTTGACATCAGTAGAGGACTTGGTCACTGCAACCGCGAGGCGCCCGCAGAAATGTTCGCCGGGTCACTGCTCCCGCTGTGGTGCTTGCGCTCCTCTCCGATTATTATGTACACGGTCACTCCAGTGCCTTGTAAACCGTTGCCTCGTTTTGGTTATGGAAACGCTCTTTAAGCGCGAAGTTCGGGCTGGACCACGTTTATGATGTGGCCTCTCGTGCTGTTCCGCTTGCTCCTCTACATCCCGCCATTACATGGGGCGAACGATATTCGCGCTGCTGCTTCTCAAAACGCTATAAGTGAATCGAGTCTAAAGTATTGTTAGAAGATTTGGCATAGATATCTATTTGTAACAATGTTTGTGTTTAAAAAATGTATTGCACTAGGAGACTAAGCCGTCTTTTTCATTATTGGTGGGAGTAGGAATATGATTGGAAGATTCCGCTCAAATGACGGAGCACGACAAAAACTCAGAAGGTGTCTTGTTAAATATTGGCATGCTTGAGGAGTATAGAATACTCTTTAAACATGTAGGGTTTGAGTTTGAGATTGCTACTAAAATTATGTATCGCAGACATGAAGTGAATATTGGTCTTGTCAGAGCATTTGTTGTAATACTTGGAATTTCGAGAGGATAGGATATATATATATATACAAAAATATATATTGACTATTTCTTAGTATAATGTTTTGGAATGTTTATACTTATAGAAAGATTTTTAGAATATTGGTGGTATATTAAATATATTTATATAGGTAATAGATTCGCTATATATTGCGTTAAAAATTAATATG